GTGATTCTGTAAAACACTAAAAATATAAGTTCCATTTGGCCCAGTTGTTGCCCCTTGCAGGTAACTTCTCTAGAGAGTTAAACTCACCACACTGGCATACATGCATATCCATGTTTACAGCACACAACTTATGATACCTAGATCTTGGATGGAAGGTACATCTGTGCTACAACAGATGAACAAATAAGGAAAATTTTTATTCCCTTTTTATAGTTGGACCAGAGTACAAAGAGAGTACTAGTAGTACTCTACAGACCACAGGCTCAAGAGAAAATCCAACTTAGTACAATTGATTCATTCTGTTTATTAATTTGACAGATACTGAACAACTCTTATAAATCAGGCAATGCACTAGGCATTTGGTTTTCCCCAGTGAATAGAGCAAAGGTATTCTAAAAATGCTGGTGGAGAAAATGAAAATAGGAATAAACCCAACTCATGTTTATTATTTAATATGATAGAAGGTGGGAAGAGGCAGGCGAAATGTGACATGCAGCAGGATAAGAGGTCCAGGAAAGTCAGGGTTCAAGACTTTCAAAGGAGTGAAAGGTGAGCCACTACAGGCCACATCTGAGAGATAACTGGAGCAAAGTTCACAGAATTCACCATGACCTTGAGACTCAATGTAGAGCCAAGGGTGGATTCAACATGCTAAGTCTCCCCAGGTGACAGACACTCATAAATGGCCATTCTGTAAGCTTGGCATGTATAAAACTAATAGACCTTCGATGCTGATTAAAATACTTCAGGAGGTCTGATTTTGTTACATAGATCCATGGGAATGAGTTTGGGATTTTTCTACTTTTTCATCTTTACATTTTCTCTTTAGCTAAAACAAAGAAATGCAAGATGATCCCTGAGAATCAGACGTCCAGCACTGATTTCATTCTTCTGGGACTATTCTCTTCCTCCCACACCAGCCTGGTCTTCTTCTCCTCTCTGTTCATCATTTTCATCCTGACTGTCACAGAAAACGCCCTCCTGATCCTCCTCATCCGCAGGGACTCCCGCCTCCACTCCCCAATGTACTTCCTGCTCAGCCACCTCTCCTTCATGGACATCTTGCATGTTTCCAACATTGTCCCCAAAGTGATCACCAACTTCCTGTCTGGCACCAGAACTATCTCCTTTGCAAGCTGTGGATTCCAGATCTTCCTGTATGTCACCCTGCTAAGTGGCGAGTGCATTCTCCTGGCTGCCATGTCCTATGATCGCTATGTGGCCATCTGCCACCCCCTGCGCTATGCCATGCTCATGAGTGATAGTGTCAGCATGCTCCTGGCCATGGGGGCTTGGCTGGTGGGGACCCTCCACTCCATAGTCCACACAGCCTATGTGCTCCACTTTCCCTTCTGTGAGCCTAGGGTGATCGATCACTATTTCTGTGAGATCCCTGCCTTGCTGAAGTTGTCCTGTGTGGACACATCACACTATGAACAAGGAGTTGATGTAAGCGCCACTATTTTCCTGTTGATCCCTTTCTCCATGATCTCTGTATCTTATGTCAAAATTTTGCACACTGTCT